GGGGGAGGACAGTAGGTCCCCCCCCCTTATTGTTTTACTGGGGCCCCCACCCACCGCTCAGGGGTGGGGGCCGGGGGGGAGGACAGTAGGTCCCCCCCCCTAATTGTTTTATTAGGGCACCCACCCACCCACCGCGCAGGGGTGGGGGCCAGGGGGGGTACAGAAGTTCCCCCCCATATCTTTATTTAGGGCCCCCACCCACCGCTCAGGGGTGGGGGCCAGGGGCCAGGTTCCCCCCCATCTTTATTTAGGGCCCCCACGGGCATGGGGGGAGTGGGGGGGTTATTAGTTGTTTTTTTTTTGTTTTTTTACAGTGAGCAGCTATAAGCTGCTCACTGCTTACTACACATGCCCCTACTCGCGGTATAGCGAGTAGGGGCATTTAATTTACTAATACTAAGTAGTCTTTACTTAGTATTAGTAAATTTGGCTGAAAGACCAATTTAGGTCTTTCAGCCTTTTAGTAGATAACTCCCTGATACCGTGGGAATTAGGGAGTTATCTACTAAGCGGCTGCAAGATGCAGCCACAGCAATGAATAGGATCAGAGTTTCATTCATTAGAATGAAACTCCGATCCGAATAAAGTGCCGAATTGCGTTCTAAAAGAAACGAACATACTGTTGTCATTCAGTTAGAACACAATTCGGTAGTTTTGTGGAAAGTGACAGGAAGCATTGTGGGAACACAGAGGGAAGGTAAGGATCATGGGAAAATTGCTCTGACCAGTGGAAATGAAGCACACTTTGCTCCTCCGCTGGTCAGAGCTGGTCAAGCGGAGGAATCCTCCATAAGGCAAAGAGTCCCTTCTTTGTCTTATGATTTTATAGAAAATTAAAGAAGACAGGAAGAAAAGAATAACAGATCCTGAGAGAGGGGGAGAAGAGGAAGAGATTGAGGAAAGGTAAGTTCGGCATGACAGTGCCGCTTTAAGTGTTCCTGTATGCTTGCTATGTATGTAGGGTTATTTAGGAGAAGGTCGTTTAATCTCCAATGTGGGCGCATTTCTGGGACTGAGGGGATTGTGAGGTCCACCGAAAGGGGAGCGTGGTCTGACCACGTTATCTGACCGTACGATGCGCTTTTGAGTAGGGGTAGGTGTTTGTGTTGTAGAAACAATGTATCTATTCGGGAGTAGCTACCCGTTGGTGGGGAGTAGAAGGAATAGTCTTTTTTCATCGGGTGGAGGGCCCTCCAACTGTCGTATAGTCTGGCTTCATGTAAGATATTGCGAAATCTCTTGCGCGCCGGGGCTAAATATTCGCTGTGGGTAGAGGTGGAGTCTAATTCGCCGTCTAGAGGTATGTTAATATCACCTCCTATAACCAGTATGCCTTCCTGAAATCTGGTGAGTTTATTCAGGATCTTTGACATTGCCTGGCATTGTTTCTTATTGGGGAGGTATAGGTTCGCTAACGTGACTTTCACATTCCCTATTTTCCCTTTCACAAATATATATCTCCCTGCCTCATCTTGAAGTTGGTCATGAAATTGAAAAGGAAGATGGTGACTTATCAATATCGCCACTCCTCTGGCCTTTGCCCCAACATAGTGACTGAAATAGCCCTTGGGATACCTCCGGTTTCTGAGAGAGGGGGCCTTGTCTTTCCTGAAATGAGTCTCCTGGATATACACTATGTCAGCTTTGTGTCTGTAGAAGTCTGCTAGAGCTAGCGCCCTTTTTTCAGGTGTATTTAACCCTTTTGCATTTTGTGAGTGAAAGCGGATGGACGTCATGATGAACCAGCTCAGGGTGTAGTTGTGTCACTGTCTCTAGTGAAGGAATTTTCTTAAAGTTGACGTGTGATGTTATGTATATATGATCTGATGCAGTGTATTTTATGGTCTCTACGACCACTCAGGTCCTATCAGATTGTTGCAGTTGATTAAGTAGCTTTCTGATAACTGTGTGAACTCTTATTCGAACAGTATAACCAATAAGTAGGAGTAACAGGAATGTGAACAGTCCACCCCCGAATCTAGGTACCTTCTTGAGTAGGGATCAGATTTTAGTAGATCGGGGGATTAATCTATCCCTGTAGTATGGGTCCTCTGACCTAGTCACTTAACTGGGATACGGCTGTTCCTGAGGGGGAGGGGGTGGTAGGGTGAGGGAGGGGGGTAACCAGGAGGGGGAAAACGAGTTCGCTCTCTGTGCGGGAGAGGAACCACTATCTGTGAGGGTATGTGACCTACGTACCAGCCCGTTGGGCAAATCCACTCTTATATTCTGGATACTTTAGGAGACTATGAGCACAAAGTTAGGAGATTGGGTTTTATTACCTGCGTATCTGAAATGGGAGGGGAGGGGAGGGGGGGGAGTGTGTTTTCCTGCTTTGTAATCTTAAGGAGGTTGAGAGATCTAAGGGATTTATCTGAATACTTCCACCCCTATATTGATATACCTTAATATTAATATCAACCACCCTGTTGATACAAGATAGAGATGTGAAATTTTTTTAAAATTTTTTTTTTGTGTGGGGAGGGTAGAGAGCGTATCGGGACCTTTGTACTATTATTGCCCTGGCTATATAAACCCCGATACTGTCCGACTAGACAGTCTGGATTTTACTTCATTGGTACTGTAGGTATCCCATGTGTATATTTGCATCGTACACCCTTGATACTGAGAGAATGCAATTAACCCCCATAAAAAATAGGTAATACATTACACTTTTTCAACACACATTCTACAAATATACGACCTGTCTCCGGATATCAGGATAGGGTGGGTGATAAAGTGTCTCCTTTTGTCTCTCTTTTTTTTTTTTTTTCATTTTGTCTTTTTCTTTCTTTTTTTTTTCTTTTTTCTTTTTATTCTTTCTTTCTTTCTTCTTTCGTTAGTACTAAACTGTCCAAGTCGTCTTTCATCAGTATTGTCCGTTCAAACCGTGTGGATGCCGTCTAGCTGCCGAGAGAAACCTTTGGTCAGACCTCTTCTTCTTCAGGGGTGTATATCCACGCTGCCTTTGTGAGGGGGGAATGGTTGCTTGGTTAACCAGTGGCTGATTCCAGTCCATCACCTGTGTGTCAGGTAACTCCATAGCTCTAAGAAATGGGGTGACGTCCAGGTATGAGGCTATGGTGTGTAAGGTCCCTTTGTGGTTCACTATGAGAGCGAAGGGAAATCCCCATCTGTATTTGATATTTCGCTGCCTCAGCAATTCCGTGACTGGCTTTAACATTCTCCTGGCTTGAAGTGTATACCAGGAAAGGTCAGGATAGATTTGTACCTTGTTGCCATGGAACAGTAGGGGTTGCGATGTCTCTCTCAGATTTTTTATTAGGTCATCTTTAACCGTGAAGTAATGTAATCTGCAGATCACGTCTCTGGGAGCATCAGGTGTTGCACCTCTCGGGCGGAGAGATCTGTGCGCTCTGTCCATAAGGATCACATTGCTCACTGGCTTCTCTAGAATTAAGTTAAAAAGCTCGGTAAGCACTGCAGGGATATCTCCTCCCTGGTTTTCTGGTATACCACGAATTCTCAAATTGTTTCGTCTGCCGCGATTGTCCAGGTCATCGACATATCTCTGGAATCCTGCAAGTGCAAGTGTTTGGGAGTCTATTGTGGATGCGAGGTTGGTGATTTGGGCCTGCATAACATCTCTCTCTTCCTCCATATCTGTCACCCTCTGATTCACCTGCTGAACTTCTGCCTCTATCTTTTCCACTTTGATTTGGAATGTTGTCTCTAGCTTACCCAGCATGCAAGCCAGATCAGTTTTCGATGGCAGAGATTTCAGTATCTCCCTGATGTCATCTTCTCTCCCTGTATCCTGGGATCTGCTCGACATGTCAGAGGGTGCAGGGCTGGCCGGCTCTACCTCCGTTTCATTGCCTGTCGCCGCCATTTCGTTTATTCCAGCTCCGGCCTCGCGGTCTGCCGATTCTTTAAAAAAACTGTTTAAAGTGCCTGATTTTGGGTTCGGGGTCTTGCCCGCCTTCTCCTGGGTACCTCCTTGCCTCTTTTGGTTACCCATATCATATTTTTAGTCTCCGATTAGTGTGGATTTGCTTTAGGGCTGCAGGGAGCTCTCTCAGTGCACTTCCATGCAGCTCCGCGGTCGGCCACGCCCCCATGTTTCTTTTTTATATGTAAGGATTGGGTCTGAAAATTCTGGAGATGGGAGCAGTTGCGCCTAAGGCTTGTAAACTGGCTCTTGGCTATACCCTTCAGCTAAGGTATATGGTGACAGCTTTGTTGCCGTACAAAGCCATTACCATCGGTTGGCTTGAAGAAACATTTAGTTAAAATCTGGCGCTGATCTCATAATATAGCAAGGTCCAAGAAATGGATTGCATTTTTATTCCATTCTGGGGTGAAAACCATGTTATAACAATTGGAATTAAGATATTTAACAAAATCCTGAAAACTAAATTTAAGACCACCTCCAAATAATAATAACATCGTCAATATAACACCGCCAAAGCACCAGGCTCTCCCTTCAGCCATGCCCCGACCACACGAACAATTCCTCCCATCTCCTCATGTAGGTGTTGGCATAACTGGGGGCAAACCTGGTGCCCATGGCTGTCCCCGTGGTCTGTAAATAATATCCACCATTGAAAAAGAAATAATTGTGCTCCAAAATAAATTGAACAGAGGATAAAATAAATTCCTTCTGACTCATAGGTAACTCAGTATCTCTGGTCATATAGTAATCAAGTGCTTCCAATCCCGATACGTGGCTGATCACAGTATACAAGGAGGTCACATCCAATGTTGCCCAACTGTATTCCGGATCCCACTCTATATTTTCTAGTTCCTGTAAAAAGGACTTGGTATCTCTAATGTACGAAGGTGCCCCTTGGGCATATTTCTGAAGAAAAGAGTCCACATAGGCAGACAAATTCGCAGTTAATGAATTTACCCCACTAATGATGAGGTGACCTGGTGGATTGGGGAGACGTTTATGGGTTTTAGGAAGAAAATTAAAAATAGGGATAACAGGATTTTTTGAAACAAAAACAAATCTAAATTCTTTTTGTGAAATAATCCCACTGTCTTTAGCAGTAACCAAGATTTTCTGAAATTCTGAATTAAAAGAGATAGTAGGGTTACAGTGAAGAATAGTATATGTTTTTCTATCCCCCAGTATGTTAAATGACTTCAGATAATATGAGGTGGTCATCAAACCTATACCACCCCCCTTGTCTGCTTCTCTAATGACCAGATCATCCCGTTCCATAAAATTCTTCAGAATAATTTCTTCCCTCTTAGTGAGATTGAAGGAACGCAAGTTTTTATTTGCCCTTGTGGAAAAAGATTGGAATGTCTGGTCAACCATACGTTCGAAGGTTTCCAAAAAAAGGAAATTTTCTCTGGATAGGGAAGAAGTGTGATTTAGGTTGGAATTTATAATTAGCCTTTGTTTGTACGGCATTGGTGGTTACATGTGGACTAGAGGAATGCAAGAGAAAGTGTCTTTTGATAGTCAAAGAACGGATAAACTTCTTAAGATCTATATAAAGATGAAATTAATTTGACATCTTATTAGGGGCAAATTTCATTCCCTTAGATAGTAAATTAATCTCCTCATCTGATAGTCTTATCCCCGTTAAGTTGAAGATACCCTTATCAGTCTCCTTTTCCCTTAGGGGACACTGAATTTTTGGGGCATTGATTAATCTTGATGTAGAGAGGAAAATCTGTTGGGATGTTCCTAAGTTTCGGTTCTGGGGCAGAAGTAATTGGTTATATATTTTTCCTTTGGACCTCTGGGTCTCCCCTGAAAATTTAATTCCTGATCATTATATTGAGTGGAGTTTCCATGTATATCTGTTTTATTTCGTACAACTTGAGCATTGTATCTCGTGGTATCCCTCCTATCATGAGATATTCTACTGGACAAATAGAGAAAGACCCCATGTCTTTCTCTATTTGGTGTCCTATGGGGATTGGTTGAATTATCATAGTGGAATGTATAGTGATCCCTAGGTGCTGGTCTAGAATGAGAATTATTTCTTACTCTATTTCAGGGAGTCCTTTAATCTTATTTTGAGGGAGAGAGCGTGATTTTCTCCTTATTAATTTATTACGGGTAGAGAAGGGGTTTAATAATTTGTCCTCCCTATCTCTGCTATACTTTTTATTTTTTGTTTCTGCAATTTTTTCATCTAGTTTTTTTTAATATTATTATGTAGGATCTCTTCTCTTTCCTTTAATTCCCTCCCCTCGGTATCTACAGAAGGGGTGGAGTCCAAATCAATCAGTTCAGCTTCTAATTTATTTTGCATCTCTCTCGAATGTTTGATAATGAGTTGGGATCTCCAGGATTTTCAGACCCAATCCTTACATATAAAAAATAAACTTCTTGAGAAGGGTTATAACAAAAATACATTAGATAAGGAAATTCACTCCATCGGTCTTCTGGAGCGCAACACATTGTTGGAGGATAAACCACCTTTGGTTACTGCTAATATTGACTTTAAATCTGTTTTTGTTACCTAGTATAACACTGACCATCATAAAATAAAAAGAAGCCTAAAGAATTTTTGGCCCATTTTATTGCAGGACCCGGTTCGGAGAAATTGTATATCGGACCGTCCAACGGTGATATTAAAAAAATAAATAAAAGCTTTAAGAACATACTGGCCCCGAGTTATGCTATTAAACCTATTAGAGATAATACTATGGTGAATCTTGGATCCTTTAGGGACTGTGGTTTATGTAATGCCTTCACCACGGCACCTATTGAGAGAACCAATGAGTTTTCCAGCGTTGTCACAGGGGAAGTGTTTAAAATCAGAACAGAGATAGGTTGCCACACGGACCATGTAGCGTATTTGCTGCAGTGTCCATGTGGCAAACAATATGTGGGCCGTACAAAACGTCCCCTAAAGGTCAAATTACTGGAACATCTGAATAACAAAAGAAAAAAATCTCACTACCCATTCTGTTCCAGTTCATTGTAACAGCTGCCCTGTTTTTTATTTTGGGGACCTTAAATGTAAAGACATCGAAAAGGTCTTACCTTTCTGGTGTGGAGGAGATAGGGTTAAGAAATTGTCCCAGAGAGAAACCTTTTGGATACATAGACTTAATACTTTGGAAACTAGGGGTTGATTATCTGTAAATATTCCATCTAATATCGTGAGAATGTATTACATATACATTATATATATATTGTGATAAAGTGAAGGCAGATAGGCCTTTTAACCCCAGGGGGAGTATGTGTAGGATGTGTTGTAGGCAACACAAAACGCTGTTTAGTTATGGGCCCCTGTGGTGGAGCATTTGGAGAGAAGGGTGGGTCAATGCTCCACTCCACAGTTTAGTGGTTTTCTGGGGAGACATGGATCCAGGCCAGGGTTTTTTGGATCCTCTCCAACCCACTGCTCAGCTGCAGTTAATGAGCTGTTGCAGTGGGAATAAAATCCAACCTGCTAGGCAGGTAAAGGAGAGGGATTGCTGGCTTCCTCCCAGGAAGCAGGTAGGAGAGAGAGGCTGTTCTCTCCAGATAGTCAAGGAGACTAGGCACTTGGAGTGCAGAAAGGAAGCAGTCAGGGCAAGGCTGGCTTGGAGCACTGGGAGTGCAGAAAGGAAGCAGTCAAGGCAAGGCTGGCTTGGAGCACTGGGAGTGCAGAAAGGAAAGCAGTCAGGGCAAGGCTGGCTTGGAGCACTGGGAGTGCAGAAAGGAAAGCAACAGGCTAGCTAGCAGAGCGTTGCTCTCTAATAAGGTTGGTGCAATATTGTGTTTAGATTAACCCTGAGAGATAGGGAACTAATGTCAGTTAGTGTTCAGACGAGCTAGGTTTTTGTTTATAGGGTTTTCTGTTACTTTTGTTTTCATTTACTGCTGTATCCTGTGTGGATTTACAAAATAAAGTGCCTGAGTATATGCAATTACAAGGACTGTGCATGTTTTTGCCCTAGAGGACCGTGCTACCTGCAAACAAGGATCACAATATATACACATACACACACACACACACACCACCCCATAAAGGGGGTTAATGTATCTAATAAGTTGGATTTGCTTGGCATTACTTTATTCTCTTTGAATGTTGTTACATTATACCATGGTTCAAACCATCTGTCAAAGGGAATAAATTGGTTCTTTATCATCTTTTTGTGTTAGCCATTTATAGATACACTTTTTTATCCAGACATCGGTATGTGTGCTGATCCAGTAATTGGATCCTTTTATTTTTTTCGATTTCAATTTATTTCTATTTTTTGGGGGGGAACAGTATCACATTGTATTATAAAATTCAATATTTTCACCAATGTTCTAAGCACTTGTCACTTTAATAACTGATGATTACATCTTGTGATGTGGATCGAAGATGATTGCACAATGTAGTATAAATAATAGAGCATACATTGTGGTTTCCACTATTTTTTATTGTATTTCCTATCAGTTTCACATATTCAATATCTTACAAGTGTTCTAATGCACCTGTCACTTTAATTATTGTACGATAGCACTTTATTAAGTGCATTTAAGATAGTAGTACACTTGGTTAAAAATAATAGAATATACCTGGTGGTTTTCACTATCCTTTCAACTGTACTTAGCTAAATATTTATTTTTTGGTTATTTTGTTCCAACACTAATATATTCTTTATTTAAGTAGATGTGCACTGCTTTGTATATTTATGTTGCCCACCAACGATGTATTAGAAGGTCTGGCACTCTCCAATTACACGAATGTGAGGGTGACACGCATGTGGAACGCACTTGGAACGCGGAAGTAGAATACTATGCTTACTTCCGGTTTTCTCGAACGCGCAAACTTTGATTGAAATGAAGTTACAAGTAGTATAAACAGCTGAGGAAGATCGTCTTTACACCAATGAGGAGACAGATTGATGGAAACACCCACTGATCCACCAATGGACACAGGGAATAGCCCTTTTTAAAGGGATTGTGGAATGGGGGTAGGATATGTTATTTTTACACTGTGTAATACTGTGTTTGATTTTATTGTTACTGCGGTCACTGAAGAAGTTCCTTAGTGGAACGAAATGCGTAGGACCTACCGCTTGTATTTTTTATCCTATTCTGAATGGTGATTATTCATCTTTTAAACAATAAAAAAAGTGGATTTTTAACTCTCATCCATTTGAAGTCCTGTGTACCATTGGTCATCCTGCAGTAACAAGGGGATTTGTAGCCCCCCACACCATCGGGGGAGGTACCCTATGAGCGCTTAACTCTTCGCTATCTCGTGAGTGCAATTTTGTACAGCGCATGATTTATTGTATATACTGTATTACACTATTTTGCTTTCTTTGTTCCTTTATAGATTTGCTCAGCCATATCCCGTATATTTGTTTCTGGTTTTCTATACATTGTGAAGGTCATTTTGTGTGTATAGTGATCTTGAGAGGCTGTATTTTGATTTCAAGCTATGTTACTTTTTACCTATATTTCACTGATAGTATGGTGTTTAGATTGTTGCATACTGGTAAACGGAATGTGACCACAAAACACACAAAAGTCCCTGAATACATGAATTGTTCTAATGAGAAGAAATACTGAAGCGGAGAGTGATGTGAGTAGGTTAAATACATCCAGAGCAGGATACTTTGACAAGTAACCACAAAACACACATAAGGCCCTGCACACATGAACTGTTTTACAAAATCCTATGTCCTTGTTTGCTCAAATTATTTTATTCATCCCTGTCTCCATGCATAAGTTCTATGACACTGTCCAAGAAGAGAGTATCCAATTTCCAGGACTAATGTTTGTGAAAATGCCAGGCACACAGACCAGCCATAGGTTACAGAAAACGAGCTCGTGACTGCCCGTCTGTGTCATGATTGACACATGTGTTATAGGTTTGTTGTGTCTAATGCTATATTAACCCATTCAGGGGAGACTCTTAACGACGGGCGACGGACCTCGTCTGTCATACGTTAAAATTAACCCCAGATCGCGGCGATTGCGGGGTTAACGGTGCTCCGGTCTGCCTCTGTATTAGAGGCAGAACGGGAGCACCTGATCGGGCTGCCCCTGCAGCAGTGCTCGCTCTGACATGCTGACATGTGCTGCAGATACTTATCTTCCGTCTCTCTGCACTTCCTGGTTCTATGCGAAGTTCAGGGAGGCGGATCACACCTGCTCTTGTCCCTGTTAAAAAAATAAAATAAAGTTAATTTAAAATCCCACCCCCCTTTACGCATTTTAATAAAAAAATTAACCCCTTCCCTACCAATTGATCACTGACTACAGTAATCAAATGGCAGGGTATACATTTAACTGTGATCTCATTTTTTAAATGAATTTAAATATATTAAAATAATATATTTAGCTAGCTGGGGTGGGTGGAAGTTAGTAGGGAATTGGTGAATGTGGTGTTAGGCTAACTAGGGGTTAACGTTAAAAAGTAAAAAAGAAAGTTTTAAGAGTTGAAAAAATGTTTTAATAATTTTTTTTTTTTTAAATTAAAAAATTCCACCCTCCTTGCCCATTCCAAATAAAAATTAACCCCTTCCCTGCCAGTTGATCACTACCTACAGTGATCAAAATACAGATCACAGTATTGTACTGTGATCCGATTTTATTTTTAACCCTTAGGGGTTCAATTTATTTAATTGTTTAAATATTTTAACATGATGTATTTTGTTAGCTGGGGTGGGTGGGAGTTATGGGAAATTTACCGTTAGTGCTGCTTACTGCTAGTGAGGGGTTAACAGTAAAAAAAATAAAAAAAAAATAAAAATAAAGCTTATAATAATGTTAAATCTGTTTAAAAAAAAAGATTTAAGAAAGTTTAAAAAAATAAGCAAAAAAAAGTTTAAAAAACTTTTTAAAGAGTAAAAAAAAAATACATTTAAAAATGCTCATTACCATTACACCTGGAACAAACTAGAGAAAAAATGATCCTGCGCTAAAGTTCACAATAAGCCTTTTGAATTACCCCAGGGTGTATTCTTTAATAAATAGTATGTATTTGTGTGGAAGTTTCAATAACCAACCAACTAAACTACTCCAAAATGGAACATGGACATAGCGTAAAACTTCAAAGTTAGAAAAAAACTGAATGGCTGCGTCTCAAATTTGCCCCTTCAACATCCACATATACCTGGCAAAGGTACATACAGGGGTATTGCTGTACTCAGGCAACATAGCTGAGCAACATATGTAGTATTATACAGTCATAGCACACATAAGATTTGCAAAATATATATACCCACAATTATACTTAAATATTTAGCAGAGATTGGCGGTGAAATGGCTACATAGAAAGTGTCAAAACAACCTTAGGACAATAGCCTGTGATGTTTTCTTTATATAAATATATACTTGTGTGGCAATTTTGTTTTCTTTTTTGGCTATTAAGCTTACAAGACAAACATACCAAATTCTAAAATCGCTCCACATTAAAAGTTTATTTTATGCCTTGTGCTTTGTGACCTGTAACTACTAAACAAACCTTAAAATCCCAGACACACTATATATTCTGTAAGTCAGAACAACTAAATGAATTTATTTTTAATTACTTTTTTAACCTGCACTAATTATACACACATTATTTTAGCAAAAACTGTAAATAAAACCACATTTCTAATTTTTTTTCTAAATTCGTATGAAGGTTCCGTTCGAGTATTTATTTTCTCTCCATTCCCTAGGAGTGAAATTTGTTTCTCTTTCCCACATTATAGTTTAACCCCTTAGTGACCAGACTGTTTTTCAATTTTCCTACCGTTAAGGACCAGGGCTCTTTTTACATTTCTGCTGTGTTTGTGTTTAGCTGTAATTTTCCTCTTACTCATTTACTGTACCAACACATTATATACTGTTTTTCTCGCCGTTAAATGGTCTTTCTAAAGATACCATTATTTCCATCATACCATCTAATTTACTATAAAAATTTTTTTTATAAAATATGATGAAAAAAATGTAAAAAAAATACCCCCCACTTTTTCGAACTTTGACCGCCAAAATCTTTTACGCATCTACTACCGCCAAAAAACACCCGTGCTAAATAGTTTCGAAATTTTGTCCTGAGTTTAGAAATGCCGAATGTTAACATGTTCTTAATTTTTTGGGAAAGTTATAGGGCTATAAGTACAAGTATCACTTTTCTATTTCCAAACCATTTTTTTCAAAATTAACACAAGTTATATTGTAACACTGATATCTGTCAGGAATCCCTGAATAACCCTACACATGTACATATTTTTTTAAAAGAAGACAACCTAAGGTATTAAATCTAGTGAGCTGGGTTACTTCACACCTATTAGGATATCATATTAATCAAGTCATCTACTTCACACCCATAGCATGGCTCACGCTTTACTACAAGGAGATGACCTGCCGCTTACCAGCACCCGACCAGATCTAATTTCAAGACGAGGCAAGCCGTTGTAGCCAGCCCAGTGTCCAACTACAGATTTTGGACAATTCCAAAAATTACAGCTGAACTTAAAAGGAAGAACATTCCATTTCCTGCTACAGCCAGGAAAGCTGAACTATTTTTCTTGTTAAACACGCACAATGATAATGAAAGGTCTGGCACTAGTTCTGAATGTAGTATGCAAAACAGTTTGTCAGAACTACATAACATGATCTCTCTAGTGACTTCTGTAGCCACTATTAACAACCGGTTGGCTAATCTGAAATCCAATAACCAAACAATCATCCCGGATGTCCAAATTCCCATAGCTCAGCCAGAACCAAACACAGGAGGTAACTCTAATCCTCTACCCACTAAAAGTACTAACATCATTAATCCAGTACATCTCATTCCCCAAAACCTTAAACGTGACATATTAGAAGGCTGTCACGATTCGGGGAACCCAACACGCTGGCACACACACACACACACACAGAAAAGGTGCCGTACCGGACCTTAGAGTGGCCGGGCTAAGCACACACAGAATAGTCAGGAGACAAGCCGAGTAAGGGGAACCAGAAGACAGAATAACGTGAAACGAGCCGAGGTCAAAGGGTAGGAGAAAGTCACAGAGTCAGATAAACAAGCCAGAGAGTACGTAACCAGAAACACAAGGTAAGTAGCAATACTAGTAAGCAAAGACCACAACAGGGCAGGGAGGAACAGGAAAGCTAAGTATTTAAACCATAAGGTTAATTCTGATTGGATAATTTCCAATCAGAATTAACAATCACACGTGGGAGATATCTAAACCTCCCACTGTGATTGAGGCACTGTGCCTTTAACGCCGGGTCAGGTGACTGACCCCGGCGTGTAATAATTTGGGCGGTCTCCCAGCGTGCAGCGTCATGCATGCTGCCGCTGGGGGACGTGGAGGAAACGGCAGGCGGCATCCGAGGGTGGAAGGATGTCGCTCGCCGACCCCACGAGGAGGAGGGGACCGCGGACGGCTGGAGGGTGAGTACCGCGAGCGGAGTGCAGCCTCCCCTCGCAGCTGCCCGCGGGATCCCGACATTACCCCCCCTCGAAGACCACCCGGAGGGCGGGAAGCTGAAGGCTTCAAAGAAAACCGGGCATGAAAGGAGCGGACCAAAGAGGGAGCGTGCATATCAGAGCTCGAAACCCAAGACCGCTCCTCAGGGCCGTACCCCTTCCAATCCACCAAATATTGCAGCCGACCCCTAGAAACACGAGAATCGAGAAGGGCAGCCACCTCGTACACGTCGCTAGAGACAGCGCGAGGGGAAACGGGCCGCCCGAGGGGACGAGAGAACTGGTTACACAGCAAGGGCTTCAAAAGCGAGACGTGAAACGTGTTCGGGATACGCATGGAAGGAGGCAGGTCAAGGGAGTAGGAAACGGGGTTAACCCTACGTAACACCCTGTAGGGATCAAGAAACCTGGGAGCAAATTTAATCGAGGGAACCTTGAGACGGAGGTTCCTGGAGGACAACCAAACCCTATAACCTGGAACATAAGAAGGGGCCGCAACCCTACGGCGATCAGCAAACTTTTTCTGAGCAGCTGCTGAACGAGACAGCGCAACATGGACCTGATCCCACGTCTTCCGCAAAGAGGCGAGGT